GGTTTGCCCCGCCACTCACTTGAAGATGTTCAGGCAAAAGGAAACACCCATATGCAGCAATCATCCTTAATTGCAGAAATGTGGCAAAACATCTCTGGAGAGAACCTCAGATTATTAAATTCGAAAGTGCTTTCCATATTTGGATCAACATAGGCTACATTTGTGAACGCACATTTTCTGCAATGTCGCGCGTCAAGTCACGCTTCCGTGTGCGTCTTACAGACTGCAACTTACAATCGCAACTTCATTGTGCTGTTACTCCTTTCAAGCTGAATTTCACAAAATTGGTCAGCTCCCGACAGCATCAGGTGTTTTATTAATGGGGAGTATAATTATTTATTTATTTCAATGAATGTAATCGATTAGATATCATAATATTTAGGCTATAATAGGCTATTATAAATCTGGTTGGTTTGTATTGGTGACATGATATGTAAATGATATGCGTGCGGCCCGTGAGACTTGCACTTGGACCATAGTGCGGCCCAGTGTGAAAAAAGGTTGAGAACCACTGCATTACATCAATGAATAACTAATGGATTCAAATACTGTACAAACTACTACTGCATGGAACCACACAGATCATTTCATTAGCCCTTGTGAAAAAGAAGTACACTTTAGCATAAAAAAAAGATGCTCATTACAGAAATAATACACTTTAAAAGAATATACTCAAATGTGAACTAAATGTAATGTAGACACTGAACTGCAGGTTATTTGCAATTAAATGAAAATGTATTATAGTTTATATTAAATTATTACAGTTATTATTAAACATTTATATTAAACAATTAGTTGAACTTGAAAGTTATTTTTCACCCACTTTAATAAATTTTTATTTGTAATTTCATAATTCTATTGTTTTTGAAATATAGCATTTATGGTAACTAAAATATACTTTTAGTAGAAATGATAAATACTAATTTCTATAGAAAACTATATTTAAACATTTGCAATGTTGACATTGCAATTTGGTACATTTAAAGGGGTCATATGATGCTTTTTTAAAGATCATTATTTTGTGTATTTGGTGTAACAGAATATGTTGACATGCTTTAATGTTCAAAAAACACCTATTATTTTTCAAATACTGTACATTATTGTAGGTCCTCTATGCCCCGCCTCTCTCAAACGCTTTGTTTTCTATAAAGTCCCTCCTTCCGACAAGTGCAGTCTGCTCTGATTGGTCAGCTGACCCAGTGCATTGTGATTGGCCGCACACCGCAAGCACTCGTCGGAAATGTAACGCAACTTACAATAATCGCGAGCTTCATCTTTCAAAATAAATGTACAGACATAAGTAATGTTACGTTAGTTTTACCATCAGTTCAAGCCCGAAAGGGGAACAGAGTCGCGTGACAGACACAGTGATGAAGCTGATATGTGTTTGCAGTACACAAGCCACGGTTAAGACAGCTGACTCCACTGTGACTCCACACAACTTCAGGGATCTTATCTATGCACAATCAGCTTGTAACACCCCAAACGAAAGGAAAACTTGAAATCGCATCATATGACCCCTTTAAAAATATATATCATATATTTATTACTAAACACACTACAGTTAGATTTATAGTCAAGTACGTTACATGTTAAAGGGGTCCTATTATACTCTTTTACAAAGTCTTGATTTTTTTTTTTCACATATTTTACATTATTACAACACCTCTCTCCTCAATCTGGCATGAACGGCTCGACTAGTTCCTGTATCAAATGAAGGCCCGCCTTCTGAAATACGAAATGTGCTGTGATTGGTTAGCTGGGCCAGTGTGTGCTGTGATGTGTGCTGTGATTGGTTAGCTGGGCCAGTGTGTGCTGCGGGCCAGTGTGTGCTGTGATTGGTTAGCTGGGCCAGTGTGTGCTGTGATTGGTTAGCTGGGCCAGTGTGTGCTGCAAAAAATAGGTGTTTTTGTGATTGGTTTGCTGGGCCAGTGTGTGTTGTGATTGGTTTGCTGGGCCAGTGTGTGCTGTGATTGGTTAGCTGGGCCAGTGTGTGCTGCGATTGGTTAGCTGGGCCAGTGTGTGCTGCGATTGGTTAGCTGGGCCAGTGTGTGCTGCGATTGGTTAGCTGGGCCAGTGTGTGCTGCGATTGGTTAGCTGGGCCAGTGTGTGCTGTGATTGGTTAGCTGGGCCAGTGTGTACTGTGATTGGCAGCACTCGGCGCTGGTCGGGAAATGTCACACCCCTTACTATAAATATTGCGTCAAAATCAAATCAATTTGAGCGCAATTTAAACCCGAATGATTGTAACCACTCTAAGTTCGTCTGCCTTGAGAAAGCTAGCGTGTCTCCGACATAGTGATAACACTCGTTGCCTTCTCTAGTGCAGCTCAACAAGGTCTCGTCCCATTCGTCTGTATTTGTGATTTCACAAATCCCGGAAAATATGCGTTGTAGTCCAAACGAGTCGTTCGTTGTAGTTTTTGAAAAGTGACTTCTGTTCAATAAAATATCTCCTTTTGAAGTGGACTTTGAAACTTTGCAGATCTTTTTTATGGTCAAACAGCAACATTACAGACTAACTAAAGTTGAAAAATTGAAAAAGCATAATAGGACCCCTGTAATATGTTACTCAACACATCAAAGTAGTGTTTTTTAGCAATTTACTTGTAAGATTTGAAGTACACAACAAGTGGAATAGAAACCCACTGAAAACGTAAAGCAAAGCGGGTATCTCAAAAGTAGACAAACTCAGCAAGGTTATGTTTTAAAACCTAGTGATACTTAACATTTTAGGGCATCGTAGGCTATGTTTTACAGTACAGTCAGTGTCAATTTTCTAAATATCATGGAACTGAATGGTTACAATTTTGACTTACCATGATATTAACGTAGTACTCCAGAGTGAATACTACAAATAATTTAAATTTCTGGCAATTTTATATTAGTAAATGAATGCCCAAGAATGTCTCCTAGGTAGACATCTTACTAGGTTTTGAAACACACCGAACCCAGCAGAACGAATAATAATCGATTAACACACCTTCGATGAGCTCTTTGACGGCCTGAGACTCCACCGTGTCCTGCTCCTGCTCCTGCTCCTGCTGGGACGGGTCTCTGCTCTTGTCCTCTCGCTCAGCATCCTGCCGGTACCAGCGGTTCTTGTGGATCAACGGGATGACCAGCTCCTTCGGTTTCTCCACCGGTTTGGTTCTGTAGAAGTGACAGACACATACAAGAGTTGAAGCACACGATGAGATAGAAATGATCAACGTCACACTAACGTTACTTTCAATTAGACTATTAGCTAACCTAGCTAACGTTAGCCTTCTACTCACCCTTTAAGTTCTTTCCCTTCGACTTCAACTAAATAATCTCGCTCTTCCGCTTTCCCAGATTTAACCTTACTTAATGTTTTACTAAAACCGAAAGATATTGGGCCAGATTTTTTGCCTCCATCATCTTGGCTAATATTATCCCTCAGCGATTCACGCTCCTGATGCCGCTCCGGCGACGCCATGTTTGTTGTGTGTTGAAGTCGCTGGTACATGTAGTTTTACTGGACAGACATTTCTATACCTGGAGGGCTCAAAAGACTACAATTCCAATAATGCAACACGTTACGCACGACTGTATTTCTTCTTTTTAATTTAGTAAATATAGTTCAAAGAAAATATAGAGTTTAACATTAGTTAAGCATAAGGAATTGTTATATTATTTTGTTACTAATATATTAATATATAAATAATGAATATTAGTTCTACCTGGTTCAACTCACCTTGCAGTGACCCCTAAATTAGATGAACTCGGTGTGAAAGTTGCTGTGGAAAATATAAATACAAGCATATTTTTAGTAAAAAAATATAATTTTCCTTACAAATATGAATGAATGTTGTAATAAAAATGTGTGTGTGTATATATATATATATATGACTTAAGCAACAAAAGCACATACATTTTTTAGAAATTCAATGTAGTTGTTTATAATTTGCCAGTGATGTAGGGCCATAGATTTGCCCTAAAAAGAGTATCAGTGATTGAGGCAAGAAATCTCTTGCCAATGCCTCTTCATGACTGACCCAGGACAAGTTGGCACAAAACTATTCATATGTGACCAAAGACTGATGTCCTTGCCAAACAATCATAGACTATGCACACAAACCAGGTCTACTTTTATTATCCAAACAGAGTTCTGCTGAAAAAAAACAAAACATTTGTGAACCATCTTAATTTGGTTTCCTGGTCTTATCTGCTTTTTGCTGGTTTTAGATGGTTTCCCAGCCTGACCAGCTGAAAGAAAGTGCCCAAAGTCCATCTAAAACCAGAAAACGGGTCAATCTAACCAATCTTGGAGATCACCAAACCATCTGGGTTGAGCTTGTTTAAATGTAAGATTGCGGTAAAAATGTAAATGCACTTTCACGCTAGTTTCCCAACTCACTTCCCACCCAAATCCTCCCATTTCACCGGTCCACATTTCTCTCCCCTAACCTGAGCTGCTTTTAACAACACCGGCAAACTACCTGCTTCGTTTACACAAGGGGCGGCTCTTCCCTTTATATCTTTCCCTCCCCGCAGCGCCTCCAATATCGCTTCTTACTCTTATTACAGTGTTCTTCTCTTATCGCCTGCGCCGGGGAATACTGAAGCGCGCGCTAGACGCGATCTGCACCGCTGACACGCGTCGCTTCTTCCCGCAGCACGCCTTCACGGACATCCGCGACACTGTCCTCCGGTTCATAATCGATACTGTCGCCGTGCTCTGCTTATTGAGTATGCTGCGAGAACCAGACTCAGCATAACCGCTGCAATGTAACGCATCAGCGCATTTATTCAGAAAGTCAAAACAATAACGCGGATTAAAACGCCACGGGACGCGATGAAGAGAAAGCGGTAACTATGAAGGTAAGATTTGGGCTCTGTCATTGATTGTTTAGTGGACGTGTTGCTGTGTGGAAATCACTCACGGTGCTGAGATTCAAAAAATCTCTTTAGTTTGTTTAAGACGTAAGTTATCTCTGGCCTGAAAGCCACAATCCAGTGACAGTGGCTGCATGTTGTTTTGGAGTGTCTACAACCAAGTGGAAACGCGCTGTCCGATGTGCGTTTTTTTCCCCCTGTGTTTTTTTCCTGGCAGATCATCATCACGGGTCCCGAGCTGAACACACCTGCGATTGGTTAGCTGGGCCAGTGTGTGCTGTGATCACACACTCTCACACACACACACTGAACACATACTCACACACACACACTGAACACACACTCACACATACTCACACACACTCTCACACACACACACTGAACACATACTCACACACACACACTGAACACACACTCACACATAC